CGTTATCTATGTGCTATTGGCATGGCGTAACGTACATGCTAACTTCTTAATGCACGAAGGAAAACCACCAACAACAAAAACAACAACAACAACAAAAACAACAACAGCAATAATAATAATAATAATATCAAAGCTAACCGCCCAGATATTGTTATTAAAGACCACAAACAAAAACGGTGCCTCCTTATTGATATGACAGTCCCTACTGACTGCAATGTATATTTGAAGATATTCAAAAAGTTGTCAAAATACAAGGACCTTGAAATAGAAATCTCGAAAATGTGGCATATGGGAACATCAACAATCCCTGTTGTAGTTTGAGCCCTATGACTGGTTGGAAATGAGTGCAGTAAACTAATTGAAGGGATTCCTGGAAGTCTATACCTCAAGGAGATACAAAAAATTGTCCTGAAAAGTACAGCCCACATTTTACGAAGGGCTTTATCTATGTAATTTTTTTTTTTTTTTTTTTTTTGTCAGTGTAAAATGTCATGAGGTCATTTCTAACCTTAGGTCCCTGGGCGGGACCCGGAAAGAAATGTGTAAACGCCAGAAATCAAAGAAAATAATAATAATAATAATAATAATAATAATAATAATAATAATAATATAAGACGAAGAAGAAGAAATTGAATATTTGACATTTTAGAATGGTTTTCACTTGATATTTAGCGATTGTCTTCAGCAAATAAAAAATGATAATAATTTTAAGAATAATATTAACCAAGTGAGAACTGAATATTTGTTGTCACTTGTTCCCCTGAAACAATTACCAGGTATCTCATGGGAATATACGAATGCGTAAGAGTTAGAAACAGGAGTGGCATAGGAAATCATAACAATGTCCATAGCGCCATTCATCTTCATAATCCCAATGGGGAGGGGAGAGTGTGAAAAATTTAAGAAGTGTTTCCAAGCCTTGAACCTAATTGTTATCAGATCAACGTCATGTGTCTTCACGATTCAAGAAGGCGATTTGAAACCCATCAACGTTTATCCTAACGCAGACGATGTTGCGACATAATGAAACATTCTGCTCGTCTCTCTTCGCATCGTGATTCACAAAGAAACTAATCAAATTCTAAAATCGGCCATCTTCCACCGAGGGATTATATCTTTCCGTTTTCATCTCCTTCATTTCCCATCTCGTTTCTAGTGGCATTTAAATCATTCGAAAAATTGATTTCGGATTATGATAGCGACCACATCAGAAAGCTATGATTCACGATCCTGCTGGAGAAGTTGACGGCTTTATTATCTCATGCCATGGATTATTACATGTCAGGAAAGAAAGAAGGGGAAAAAATGGAATAAAAGAAGCTAATTAGCGAAATGTTTAGAAAAGACAATCAACAAACATACGTCTTAATCAGAAAACGATTTATATAAACCTAGAAAAGAAAATATTGAAATGATGAGATATGTGATGAGATACAAAAGAGGAAAGCACTTTGTTATTATTGGTTATTGCCTTCTGGCTGTTGAACAAATTGTAACGAAGATTGCATATCCGTTATAGAAGATGGAGTTAAAATACGGAAGCAAGTTGCTTTTACACTCAGAGGTGTGTTTTTTTTTTGTTTTTATTTTGCTTCAATTCGGATTTGCCTGTAATCTTATGTCATTTAAGAGAGTAGATCAATAAGTTCGTAGAGTGAAATTGTATTTTAAGCCAACTTCTGAGCTAAACTTTTCACTGTATAAGTTCCGTTTGATGCAATTAAATATTTCCCACTGTATTAAAGACATTCAAAAAGAAAAGATTGTGTTGGAAAATAAATATTCGCTGGGGAAAATAAGACCTTTTTCTTTATTTGACAAGGGATTATCTGACCACGTATTAGTATTTGTTGTGTATGATACACCTAATTTACATAAGCGGACTACCGACCATATAAATATGGGTTGGTACCGGAAGACGGGGAAGATAGTAGAGATTAAGAAATTGAATCGAGAGACTCTGCCCGACTGCGATTTAGTCAACCCATTATGCAGGAACAGTCTTCCCAAGAATATACCAAACTAACTGTAAATATTGTGTACCTATTCTTTGTTTCAATACATTTTGTTAACGTACATTTTGTGTTGTATTATTCCATGCTTATTTAAGCTTCAACAGTATTGCTTTCAGAAATACCTTCTTTAGAGCATAAATAAACTTTTCTTAGGCAAGGTGGATTAATGGATAGTGGCTAGGGTTGAGGAATAGGACAGCCTAGTTCGAATTCCAATAAAGTACATTATATTCACTTACGTGCTAATAATACTATTGGGAAAGGTATGAATCCTCTTATCAGCCACCCCAGTTATAGGTAAATATCAGGACCGGGTTCTATAGCCTTGGATGGCAATTGGTCTACTACAGAAAGAACTGGCAACATACTGCGGGGAAAAATAATCTGCCTCGTCAGTCATGTATAGAAATATACATGTTCGCCTAAGCGTGTATCACGCATAGCATATAACTGACTGAAGTTTTTTTTTTGTTAGTTTACTTCATTTAAAATATTACAATTCATTTCTTTATTCTTATCTTTCTGTTAAGTAAACATTTATGTAATAGATTATCCGTGATGTGAATCATGAAACAATAATTCTGCTTGTCATTCACTTCACTAGTTAGTAGGGCCTTCATGTCCTCCCAAAACCTCATAAATAATAGACTATTTTGATTGCGCGGAATGAAAAGACATATCAGAGACGCTACATTGTCACAATGAAAAAAGGAAAGAACGAAAGATAAAAATGTTTAAAGCTTCTTTCCTCATAAACAATGAGAAATTTATTTACCGAAAAAAAAAGTTTGAACAAAGTAACTATAAACATTTTTTTTCTATCCTCTGCCAGCCGCAATGATGGAGAAAGCATTACCGCGAACCATCGCCAGTGAGACACGCTCTAAGAGCCACTTCCGTTTCGCGAGGCTCGTCCCTTAATCGAGAAGCTATCAAGCCAATCCTCCGAAGGAACGCCATCGAACGAGGGCCAATAACCCCAGAAGTCTCCAGTGTTACAGGAGTTAAAAAAATATCTATCAACAAGAGAAGAATATTTAACTATTTTTTTTTTATCTCTGCGTCTCATTCGAAGGACCCCGCCTCAATCGCGGACCTGATAAAATTACATGCCGAAAATGAATCCGCACAGGTAGCATCCCCAATCAACTCCTTCCCCATTTTAAAAGGGTAATGCCATCGGGCCGCTTTCCATAAGGCCTACGGGTTCGATTTGGTAAGGGAACACAGCTGCATCCAAACCTCTTCTGGTGAGGTCGTTTATTGCCGCATGCCGTGGAAAGCGGCCGGCACTACGAAGACAGGAGAGAGAATGCAAACCAAACTCATCGGTGGAAGCTCCACATTTGCATCTGTGACGCTCACATAATTTGAGTCCAAGACGGATGGCGACTCCGACCCGAGTGCACTCATCATGTAGAAACGTGGATGAAGAGGGCACTGCGTTGAGCCAGTCACCATTATTCCGTTTTGGTTGAAAATGAACCTCAAAGACGCTATTTGATTTTAATCAGGAAGTAAAAGAAAGAGGGAATTAATTTTTTAACATCTGTTTTAGCGAAATGGAAAAAAGTTAAAATAAAGACCAGCATTCATATTTATGATTTGTTACTGTAAATATTTTGTACAATTTAACGATTCGATAGGGTAATTTCTACGGATATTTCATTTTCATAGAACTCGACATAAACTTTTTCAGCCATTAATTAATCGAAGACTTAAGATTCATCAGAAATTTAAAAATGTTCACCGTTAAAACTAGTGAATTGTTATTCACCATATCACTTTTTATACGTTAGTTTAATTTGTTGCTTTTATAACATCGTTTGCATTTTTATAACATATATTTATATATATATATATATATATATATATATATATATATATATATATATATATATATATATAATCCTAAGGAGCCAGGCAAACCTACCTAGGTTTTACCTAAACGGATCTTCAGGGACGCTGGCTGAAAAGGAAAAATTATGGAACAGTATTTGTTGCTAAAACCCAAAAATGACCATGACCACCAAACGAGTACGACCATATATATATATATATATATATATATATATATATATATATATATATATATATATATATATATAAAACAAATTAAAAAAAGAACTTGTTATCAACTTTGAAAATTATCTGAAACTTGGTCCACGTAGTAAAACATATATTTTTTAAATAGTTTCCCCACCAGTAAAGACATAATGTCGTTAGAATGCAAAGTAAAAGAGAAAGTTTAAACTGAAAATGAGGAGTAATCAGAATAGGGCTAAAAAGGAACTGGATTAAAGAAGATAGAAGTCATCTATTGACATTGCATTTAAAATTCAAAAGGATTACTGGCTAGGAAACAATATATATAAAAAATGCGTTCACGCTATACTTCTGGAGTAATTTTTATAGATATATAGAGGTAGAAAAAACTGAGTAAACTTCTGTCTGTCAGTCAAGCTTCCAAAAACTAAAATAGACAGATAACGCCGTGGTAAAAAAAAATACATTTCTGTGATATTTCAAACTTAAAGTAATATTTGTTTAGGATCAGATTAATTAAACTTTTATCAGCTATTATTCTTTAAATAGTTTCAGAAGCGTAGATCTTATTGTAGAACGAATGTTTTAATAAAGAGTATTCCATTACTCTTATTTGTAACATTAGGAAAAAAACAGTTCCAGTTTCTAGGGCACACAATGAGGAAAGGGGGTGGAAAATTTGATACTGACAAGACAGATTGAAGACAAGTGTTTCGTGGAAAGCAAGACATAACCTACCTAGTGTGTTTATGTAAATGGAGGTCGAAACAAGGTTTAGGAGAGATTAAAAAAAAGACAAAATTTAGTAAGAGCTACAAAGGACAGGAAGTTGTGGGCAGCCATGATCACTAAAGTACTGAAGGGACGTGGTATATAGAAGAAGACAAAGATAGAAGACTGAAAAACTTGAAGAAGCTTGAAAGATATAATAAAGTAGAATTAAAAAATGAAGAAGAAAAGTGGGGAAGACGACAACGGAGTAGGAGTCATAAAATTTAAACGAAAATAGTAGGAGGGATGGCGAAAGACATAAACGATAGAAAACGGGACAAATATTAAAAAGAGAGAGGAAACGAGGGAGGAATCTAATCAATCAAAAGAAGTGAGAGAGAGAGAGAGAGAGAGAGAGAGAGAGATGGCGGACTGTTTAAACATCTTGAAACAAAACTTCAGTTAGAAATCTTAACATTATATTGCTTTATTAAGTTATCAGATTAGCAAAACAAAAGATTAAGAAAGAGAAAATAATTTTCTAAAACGATAAGGTTTAGTAAAAAAAAAAAGTTAAATAAATGAAAAGATTTCTTGCCTTTCTGATGGTTCTCTTCCATCATCATCAGAAAATTATGATTTGTGCTTGGTGATAATTTATGAATTCAAAAATATTTGACAGCGCAGCTTATAAATAACCCAAGAGATGTCATGATCACTTGGTACCATTCGATATATAGGATGACTAAACACGGTCACACAAACACCCTCATATATATTTACGCATATATATATATATATATATATATATATATATATATATATATATATATATATACGCACGTGTGTCTGTTAGTTGTATTTTGGTATGTGTATAAAGAATTAATCGGTTTATATCAAATTTTACAATGTGCAACCTAAGATTGTCCCATGACAAATGATTTAGTATTACGCCTCATTTATGCTGACTTTTTTAAAGGTAGATTTTAAAAGGAGAAAACCAGTAGTATCATGCACACCAGAGAAACAGAACTACATACAGGGCCCTTGGACGCAAATTTTAATGTCCGTCCTACATATATATATATATATACTGATATATATATATATATATATATATATATATATATATATATATATATATATATATATATATATATATATATATATATATATATATATATATATATATATATATATATATATATATATATATATATATATATATATATATATATATATATATATATATATATATATATATATATATATATATATATATATATATATATATATATATATATATATATATATATATATATATATATATATATATATATATATATATATATATATATATATATATATATATATATATATATATATATATATATATATAATACGTGAGTTCCAACGGAATACGTGAGGGAAGTTTTTTTGAGTCTAATTTGCAGCAACATCGTTTTCGAGGTCCAGTGGAACAGTTGGTATGATGGTGGCTTGGTAACCTAACTGTCAGGGTTTCAATTCTCGGTAGAGGATCCGCACTGCCGATCAGTCCCAGTGCTTTCTGCATTCTGTTGAGATTTCTATCTGGCTCGATGAATTACTTTATATATATATATATATATATGTAATATCTCTCCGGAAACACAATACTGAGTTTCAGGCGCAACGCAATCAGATGCTGGTTGAAAAATTAACCGTTCGCAATTTCATTAGCACTACATACAATGTGCAACATATATATGTCAGACTGTCACATTTTTTAAACTTTACTCTTAGATGACGGAGCGCAACTATTTTGCAATCAGGCCGATCCTGTGAACAAATTGAAAACAATTTTTTTTATTTTTTTACGGTAAGTAAGGATCTATGTACATCACACTGTTATTGAAATAAGTGGCGTTAAAAGAATTATCGTTGACATTTTAAAAAGATAAGCTGAAACATTAATGCAATACTTAAAATCAGCGATCAATTTCGAGTTCTGTAGTTTTTTGTTGCTTATCACATACGGCAGCAGTATGCCTCGCAAAAAGAAGTCACCGCTAACAGTAGACCATGCTGCAATCAAAAGACCCATGGCTGCAGCGACGAAAAGAAAACTCCTTGCAAATGAAAACCCTGATCAAACGGCAGTCAGGAGAACTTCCAACACTGAGACTATGCAAAGATTTAGGGAGCTTTAAACTCTTGAAAGAGTCAATGAGGCAATCAAGTTCCCTTTGCAGGAGGTAGCTGAAATACCGCCAGTTAGGGCGGTTTACAAACTAACATACATATATATATATATATATATATATATATATGTGTGTGTGTGTGTGTGTGTGTGTGTGTGTATGGGTGGGGAGCAAAACAGACGCACACTCATATATATAACCAAAACAGATATACAAACATGCACACACATATATACGACGAAATTATTCATAGATTTATCAATTTTGACTATTTTTATCCTTTTCTCAGAATCCAATGCCTGTATAATACCAGTTTTTTTTAATATATATATATATATATATATATATATATATATATATATAAGCACAAAAACGGAATATAAAATTCAATTTCCAGCACAATAAGTCAAATGCAGCAAATTTGACAGATGACTTATGCAAAATAGGAAAACACAAAATTATTCGTACAGTAGAATATATCGTTTTAAATTGATTGATTTGTGCAAGTATAAGTAATTTGCATAATTATTTCATCGTTGAAGCCTTCTAGACTATTTATTCAGTAGGATATTTGTGATAATTCCCGCAAAGAACATCACGTGATGCATAGAGTGTCACCATTTTAATTCTTACCTTAACAAACACGATGGTGAAGATAGGGTGAGATAGGGAATTTATTAACTTCCACAAGTCGGGAAATAGTTACAATATATTTTCAAACCTGTTAGCTCTCCCTAGAAGAAGTTTAAACAGTGTGGCGCAACAAAGAATTTTCCTGGGCTTTGAAGAAAACCGAGATTATAACCAGGAATTACAGGAAAACTGTGTGGCGAGGTTAAGATAAACACAAGAGTTGTTTTGAAAGACATCGTCAAAAGTTGGGATACAATTGTTACTAGCGTAAATATTCGTACAATACAAACATGATTAAATAAAATTGGGCTGTAAGGAAACCATCCCCGATGAACCCCTCTTAACAAATCATGTTACATTGTTTACTTTTACTAAAATGTTCTTGGACAAAGACAATTGCTTTTGAGAAAAGGCATTATTGACTGAGGAAACAAAACTAGAGCTTTTGGCGCATAAGTATAAGGTAACCAAAAAAGTTCTGTCCGTTTTTAAATGAAAAAAAGAAAACGTTTCACAGTATGTGTAACTTATATTTAGTCTTCGAAGTAATCGCCATCAGCATCCAAAATCTTCTGCCAACGTGTCCTCAGGTGTTCAATGCCCTTGCGGTAGAACTGTTTTGACGCGGTTTTGACGCAAAGAAGTCTGTGAGGGCTTTGCGCAAGTCTGCTTCATTGGTGAAGGATTTTCCATGAAGATGATTATCCAGGGAGTGGAAGAGGTGGTAATCGGATGGCGCAATGTCAAGTGAATAAGGTGGATGGCACAAAGTCCCCCACCCAAGTTGCTGTATGGTATCCCTGAACATTAGCGCAACATGGGGTCTGGCGTTGTCATGGAGGAAAAGCACACCTTTGCGATTCACCAGTGCTAGCTCCGTCTGGCGCAATGCCTGTTGCACACGTTTCAATTGCTGCGAGTATAGATCTCTAGTGACCGTTTGGCCCGTTGGTTGCAGTTCAGAATGAACCACTTGACGACCTGTCCACCAGACACAAAGCATAGTCTTGCGTACGTGCACAGGCGGTCTTGCGGTGTGAGGGACAGCATCCTAAGGAGACAACCAATGTCTGGAACGCTTGGGAGTTTCGTACAGAACCCACTTTTCATCACTGGTAAGCACTCGATTGAATAAGGATGCGGTATGGGGGCGAGAAATCAGCAATACGCAGGCTGCCACTCGTTGTCCCTTGTGGACCTCCAACAGCGTTTGCGGTGAGGGTGAAGTCTAACTGTTTCATCGAAAACGTTGAACTGTCTTGCAAGTTCACCACACGTTAGACTACTGTCCTCTTCAATGGCCGCCTTCAGGACTCCGTCATTCAAGACCTGTGGTCGTCCACTGCGAGGCTCATCATAGAGAGACAAATCTTCCGACTTGAATTTTCGAGACCAACGCCTTGCAGTACGTTCATCCACAGCACTATCCCCAAAACGCTTGACATATGCGGCGACTTGATGCAGCTGCTGATAAGCCCACTTTGAAGTCGTAAAACAAACAGCCTCGAACGAAATCTTTAGACACTTCCATCCTTCTCACAACTGTCCGGCTTATAACTGATGGCCGGGTACGGTGCGCGTGTTTTTTATAACGTCTGATGTTCCTACTTCTGTCTGTCCGAATTTGAAAACAATTGCTACACGCATTTCGTATATATTTCAACTTCATTCAATGACTAATCAAAAAACGGACATAACTTTTTTGGTTACCTTGTATATACAGAAGATATTGTACAAGAAATATAAGTCTGTCCTCCCAAAACATTGAAACATGGAGGCGGTTCGATGATGTTTTCGAGTTGTTTTAGATCAAGGGGGACTGGACAATTAACAAGAGGAATAATGAAATCTGCAGATTGTATCAAAATTCGGAATGAATATCTAAAACTATCATCGCAAAAGCTAGGTCGGCGATTTACTTTCTAGTAAGTTAATGATCCCAAACATATTTCTAAATCAGTGACTGTGTTGTATCATAAAAAAAAGATTTCAATTCAGCCATGACCTTCAATGTGAATCCTATTAAAACTGTATGAAAAGTTCGAGGAAATCATTAGTCACCCAAAAAAAAAAACCTTCAGAAATAAGAACATAGAAGAATGGAAGCATGTCCCAGAAAAGACTTTTGATCAAATATCAGCAAAAATTTTAGAAATTTTTAGAAAGATGAGAGGCCTTCATATTGATTATTTATATTATGAAACTTGGTCAATTTTCATTCTGTATTTTTAATATTTTACATAATTCCGCTGTCAAACTTGTTGTTATGTACCCTATTGTTCAGAAAATTGAGTTTTATATTCCTTTTTGTTCATATTAACAATATAAAACCTGGTATCATACGGGCATTTGTGTCTGAGAAATTGATAAAAATATTGAAAATTGATGGCTGTATGAATAATTTTGTCGTTGACTATATATATATATATATATATATATATATATATATATATATATATATATATATATATATAGTACTAAAAAAGTTATTTTAGTGGATATTTGTATTTGAGTAGACGCTCTGTTCATTTATTAAGCATCATATTTAATTGTTATCG